TAATTTTTAGCCCACAAGTGCCTCTTGTTACTGTGATCCCTTGTGCCCAATTACAGTCGTATATCTTAATTTAGAAAGCACTTTATAGCTTTTCGTTTAATTGCGTTTTGTGGGAGAGGCAGTGGTCGCATTACGCCCATCTACGAACTTGTCTTCACTTTTTTGCCAAGGAATACGTGTACGAAGTTTCATTAGGATATCTCAATTTTTACTCAAGTTACAGTTTGCACCGACAGACGGACTTACAGACAGACATCCGGATTTCAACACGTCTCGTCTTCCTAATCCGTTATATCTGTATATATGCAATAACTCTATATTTATCTCGATTAATTTTAAGTTATCAAACAAGTGTTAGGTGAATAAAACTATTATACTCTGTAGCAAAATGTTGCAAGAGTATAATAAGACATATCTATATCGATAAGAAGGATGTGTATATTATGAAATCGATAGACCCAGAAACTAATTGACCGATAATTATGAAAATTGGTATGTAGGTATATGATTTTTTCACGGAGAAGGCTTTTATGCTATCCTTATTGACGTAACTCGCCACCTGAAACTTGATAAGAGGAACTCTTCCTATATACAGTAATGATGATTTAATAAAATATTTAATAATATACAGGAGTATTCCAAAAAAAAGAATTAAAATTTTTTTCTTTAATGTTTATGACAATTTTGTACATTTACTAACTGCAACCAAACTAAACTAACTGTCCTTAACTGTCAGACAATTTCAGCACTATTGTACACGGACAAAATTAATTAATTGGCCGTATTTTCCCTGACGCACAAAATAATTACTTAAATCACAACTGGCTGGGTAATCGAGCTATATAGACAGTAAAAAATGAAGCAATTAATTTTGATAATAACATTTTACTAAGTTAAACAACTTACTCAATATAATTTAATTATACCTTAGCCACAGCAAGGCGTGGCCGAGTTCTTCTAGTCTGACATAAACACAACCGGAAAGGCTAAAAAGGCTAATATTAGGTCAAGTAAAAAGTTCGTTCGGTTTTTATCTAAGAGATGGTGTTATTGTCCATAGTACCAGTGTTACGTGTCGCATCATACTATACGGCGCTGAAAACGTGTTTATTCGCGCTAAAAGTTTGTCCTTGACAGTTTTTCGATTGATTGACTCAGTACGTTGTGAGCGCTCTTCAAAGATGTACACCAGCAAAGAGAAAATTCGCTATATTTTACAATTTTTCTTCGATCAAAGCGAAAAAGCATCCAAAGCTGAAAACATTAATTTAGTTTATGGGCCCGATACTGTAAACGGACGTGTAGCACAAAAGTGATTTGCTAGGTTCCGTTCCGGTAATAGCGATGTCAAAGATGCACCACTCGTCGGGAGGCCTGTCGTCGAAAATTGCGATAAAATCATGGAAATAGTGGAAACAGACCGTCACGTGAGCACTTATTAAATTGCTGAGGAACTAAAGATAAGCCAGAAAACCGTTTGGAACCATTTGCATAACCTTGGATTCAAAAAGGAGCTCGATGTTTGGGTGTCACACGAACTAACGCAAAAACATGATGGACCGAATTTCCATCTGGAAAACGCTGCAGAATCGCAACAAAATCGACCCGTTTCTGAAGCGGATTGTGACTGGCGATGAAAAATGGGTCACTTATGACAACATCGAGCGCAAACGGTCGTGGTCAAAGCTCGGGGAAGCGGCCCAGATGGTGGCCAAGACCTGATTGACGGCCAGGAAGGTTTTGCTGTGTGTTTGGTGGGATGGGTAAGGAATCATCTACTGCGAGATGCTCCCCTATGGCCAAACGCTCAATTCGGCCCTCTACTGCCAACAACTGGACCGCTTGAAGGCAGCACTCATCCAGAAGAGGCCATCTTTGATCAACAGAGGCCGAATTGTGTTCCATCAGGACAACGCCAGGCCACACACGTCTTTGGTGACTCGCCTGAAGCTCCTGGAGCTCGAATGGGAGGCTCCTTATAGTCCGGACCTGGCACCAAGTGATTACCATCTTTTCCTGTCCATGGCAAACGTGCTTAATGGTGAGAAGTTGGCCTCAAGAGAGGCCTGTGAAAATTGGTTTTCCGAGTTTTTGCAATAGGGACGCAGTCTTCTACGAGAGGGGTATAATGAAGTTGGCATCTCGTTGGCAACAAGTTTTCGAACAAAACGGCGCATATTTGACTTTAATCGGACAAATGTACACAAAGTTATCATCTTTTGAAAAATCAATAAAAACCGAACGAACTTTTTACTTTACCTAATATATATAACTACGTTGATGTGGGAAACGTCAAGAGGATTGCGATTGATTATATTAGGGATATGAGGCTTGGACCAAGGTCTAGATTAACTCAATTTATATTCAGCTATAAACTATTAATATAATTTTTAAGAAAACTCTTCCGTTTAATTACCTTAAAATATCACACATTTTTACCAACCTAAACGGTTTAAAGTCAGCTGGAAAGCAGAAATCACTATATAAAGTATGTTAGACCTTTGGCATTGCTCAGGTATACTCGAGAACATATTTTCCAACAATTTTATAAAAAATAGCTACACATTGACCGCCATATTCGTCACTAGGCTTGTTAGAATAACGAAAATCATTGTATGTAGTATATGGGAGTGGGGTAATTCATATAATAAATTCACATATTTTCGGCATTAGGCCATAGTTTATCCAATATTATACTAACAGTAATTTTGCTAAGATAACATATCTTAAGGTCAACCGGAAGTTTGAAAATCTTATATTAGATATATGAGAGAGAGAGAGAGAGGTAGTATTGAACCGCTTATATCTATTTTTGCCATTATTAATAGCAAAAGATGATCTCTGAGTTTCATTAAGGTATCTCACATACCATCACCAACATTTGCGGTATAAAGTCAACGAGATGTTTTAAATGCCTGCTATTAGTTAGGGCAAGTTTTTACCCGATTTTATTCATTTTATGTACAAAGATACATTGTAATTAGAAAAACACGGTATTTCAATTTCATTAAGATAACCCACACATTGACCGATATTTGCGATATAAAGTCAGCCGGAAGCTCGAAAATTTCTCTATTGGGTATATGGGGACTATACTCATACATAATATTATCAGAAAGGGATTCTCTCCGAATTTCTTTAATATATCTCACAGATTGACCAATCTTTTCGATGAAAAGTTCGCAATAGGATATATAGGCGTCCACATATTCGGTATTTTCATATTGCATCATAGGAATGTCATAACAATGCTACCTTGCAAGTTTGGTTCAAATCGGTCAAGTAGGTCCCGAGAAATAGGTTATCACCTAAATGGGTTATCACCTAAATGTGGGCGATGCCACTCTGATCGTCAAATTTTGACCCCGGTTCCTATAAAGCCCTATCGTACCATCTCGGGTGTAAAATATTTATAATATCTCTGCTGTATTATTTATTGATTTATCGCGCTCTTAGTAGTTTTTAACAGAACCGTTATATCGGAAGTTGGTGGGGTTATCATCCGATTGACCATTTTTATAGCTGTTACGGCTTAAGAGATATGCACATTAAACCTATTAAAGGGCGGGGCCATGCCCAGTTTTTAAAAATGTATAAACTGCAGATGCTCTCTCTACCAAATAACAGTCTTGCATCTTATTGTGTATTTATTAAAACCTGGAGAACAGACAGTTTCATGTTCTTTTGCCAGCCAATTGATGGGCTTCGAAAAAGCAAGAGACGTTGAATTTGCATGTTAAATATGCTGCTTAAATGTACTTTTTGTATTGGATAGTGAGTGGTGAAGAATTACGACAACTCCAAACGCAATCAAGTAAGGAAGGGTTAAGTTGGGGTGTAACCGAACATTTTATACTCTCACAAGGTAAAGTGATATACGGGATATTCGTATATGTTTTAATTAAAAGTTGGAAGTATTGTATACTTACAATGGATATTTGGAGAGTAAGGAAAGTATTGACCCAATTTTACATATTTTTGGCACAAGGGCATGTTATTATCACAAAAATATGTGTCTACATATTTGGTGTCTGGGTCCTTGGAAAGTTATAATCCGATTACGACAATTTGTGGAGGTTAAACAAAGTTTTGACGTAATAACTTCATTGATTTTTAATTTGTATACTGTAAAGTGAAAGAGTCAGATGAAATTTAAAAATTTGTAATATGGGAAGTAGACGCGGTTGATGGAAGTAGTGTGCAATAGTAATAATAGGATAACCTCCAAATCAAATTTGGTGTTAAGTAGTTCTTAAGCGGGCGGTGCCACACCCATTGTCCAATTTTTACACCGGCTTCCATAAAGCCCTTTTAGTAATTTTCAACATAACCGTTATATCGTGGTGGTCGTGGTTATTATCTGATTTTCTGCACTCTCTCACAATGTATAAAGAAATGCTAAATCGACTTTTTCTCAGCAACTTTGGTTGAGATAGCTTCAATAGTTTTGAGGATATGTACATTTAACCATTTAGAGGGCGGGGTCACGCCCCTTTAAAAAAATATTTAGCCCTCAAGTGCCCCTCCCCACTGCGATCCCCTGTACTAAATTACAGTTTTGGGTATCAAAGAATACGTGACCCAGTTTTATCAAGGTATCTCAATTTTTACTCAAGTTACAGCTTGCACGGACAGATACTCACCCGGATTTCTACTCGTCTCGTCAGCCTGATTATTTATATATATAACTCCTGATTAGTTTTAAGTGATACAAGCAACCGTTAGGTGAACAAAACTATGTAGCAACATGTTGCGAGAGTATAAACATATTAATTTAAAATTTAGGTATGTACAAGTATTTTTAAAGATATATACTAGTAATAATTTTGTATATACATAAATATTTACACCCATATCAACTATGCTAGTTATGAGAATAAGAGAATATAATTGAAAGCTAAATAGGCTGTAATAAAATATATTAACTATGTCATCTAATTTCGTAGTTATTATATACAAAATGCCAAACACATCTTTAATCATCCCTTTTCCCTTTTCAGCCATAAAAAGTATCAGCCATTCATGTCACGTTTACCCGAATACAGTCTAGCACACGATCTGCAGGAACAAAGCATGGTAATTGCTAGTAGTGATTCGTACAGTGTCCGGCATGATAGCGAACATTCTTCACCAAGTCTTCATTCACCGGCCATACATCAGTCCACATATGAAACAGAAATAATTGATCGAAATTTACCACAAAGTGAAGCGAGTACGGTGTATCCTTCGCCCTTTCTTGCCAACACATCGCCTCTGTTGAATTCGAATTTACCGCTACTCACAAATAATCAAGTCATGTTAAACAAATTTCTTAGTCATCCCAATATGGTAACCGTAAACGCACCAGTGCACGAAACCGAAGACTGTACAACGGGAGCGGAAACCCCAGTATGGAACTATGCCGATTACAAGGACGATATTTGCAGTTTAAATTGCTCGTACTTGGAAAGACAACAGAAAGTGAACGATGCGAAATTTCGCCCTGGCATCAATGCCGCAAAATGTGCCAAAGAGACCCGAATACGTCGACCAATGAACGCCTTTATGGTGTGGGCGAAAATCGAGCGAAAAAAATTAGCCGATGAAAATCCGGACCTTCACAATGCAGACCTTAGTAAAATGCTGGGTAACTAATTTAATTGTGATTGTATGTAAATATGTGTGTATACTTGTATAGTTAAGTTAAATACATAAACTCAAAAGCAAAACTCTAAAACTTCAAAATAAATAACATGATTTATTAATAAATTTTTGTACATATCATAAAATCGTTCACTTTGACAAGATATGTTTTACAAACTTCTATTTTTTCGCTACAAAAATTATGTCAAATTAAAGACATTTCACTTAATTTTTTGCGTAAACATTTCGTGCAACTTTTTCCATTATTAAGCAAAATAATTGGAATTTACAATATACCAAAAGTTATCTCTGTAACTAAGATCTAGAATCAGGCTCGGCCAGATCAAAACATTAATTTCTAAATACAAAAGACGGCTTAAGATTTTATTCAAAAGCACGTTGTCAGTACGAAATCTCAAGTCAATTTTATAAATATAGTTTGTATAAAATGTGCCCAATCATTAGCTACTAAGTACTGCAATTTAGAGTTTGGTCATTCTTATATAAAATATATAAGATGAACTTGACTAAACCTTGAAAACATACGTAAATTTTTCAGCCGTCGTTCAATTAGGCACTGAGGTATAGTTTACAGGGGTTCTTTTTCCCATCTGGCAAATTTTGCCCTATGTAATAATAAAATATAGTTACGTCCAAGAGTTTAGATTTATTATAAAGACAAGAGTTAAGTTTTAAAAACGATTTCAAGTAAATGGCTGCCATGGCTGACTCGAATAAATTTCAGCCGAGAGGCCTATTTTTCAACCACTTTTTGTATCAATATTCTTTTCCAAGCCTTCAATCGTTTCGGGCTTACCTGCGTAGACAAGCGAATTCACATAACACCACCAAAATAGTCTCGCGGTGTTAAGTAGCACGATCTTGGAGGCCATGCCACAAGCCTACGACGCGAGATAATGCGCTCAACAAAAGTTTCCTTTAATAAATTGATTGTTTCGTTGGCTGTATAGCATATAGCGCCAAATTGTTGGAACCAAAGGTCGCCCACATCAGTTCAGGCACGAAAAAGTTATTAATCATGGCTCTGTAGCTTTCCTTATTGACTGTAACATTATCGCCGGCTTCATTTTTGAAGAAATATGGACCAATGATTTTTTCTGCACGTCAAACAGTGACATGTTGAGGATATTAGCGGCGTCTCAACAATAGCTTGTGGATTATCATCACACCAAATGCGACATTAAGATACTCATTAAACTAAAAGTGAGCGCAAAACGAAATTTTCTTGTGAAAATTGGGATCGTTTGGCTTCAATTCTTCCACGAGTTGGATTTGTAAGCCAGCAAGCCAAGATCACTCCGCAAAATCTCCCATAAAATGGATGCTGCGCGCGTTGGCTGATGGACTCAATTGGGTCTTCATCGATACTTTGCTCCACAGCAGCATTGTGCGCACTGTACGGCATCTTTTAGGATGCGCATTATCCACTAAAAAAAACGTGATGCAAAACCGATCCATGATTGCTGGAATTACCAACTCTGCTGAGCGATTATGTCAACCGAATGTTGAATGGAACCGAACCAAAATTTTGATATTAAATTTGCACGGTTTGCAAACGTGTTCCGGAGTAAGTCTGTTCTTTATCAAATGGCAAACCAAACTGAGTATTAATCAAGTAAAAGTTATCAAAAATACCAACACCGAAAAAAGTATTGCCTCATTGAAAACCATACATCAAAACAAAACACCCGTTACTTAATTTTGCTAATTCGGGACTTACAAAGGGCCCAGGCCTTAGTTCTAATCTTAATGTTGATAAGACGGTTCAATGAAACCTGAAGGTGCTTCGCTAAACAGAAAATCCAAGTCTTCAATTTAATTTTTCAAACACGGTCGAAAATAAGTAGGAAAAGTATCCTATGATATATCTATGTATGTCATGTCAATCTTATTTACTCTTCATTGCATATACATATACATACACATATATTATTTTATTATTTTTAACAATATGTTATTTGTTATAACGAAGGAACTAATTTATTTCTAGGTAAAAAATGGCGTTCCCTCACTCCTCAGGACCGTCGGCCTTACGTAGAAGAAGCAGAACGTCTGCGAGTGATACACATGACCGAATATCCCAACTACAAATATCGACCACGGCGGAAGAAGCAATCGAAAGTACGTGCTATACAACCATCCGCAAAAGAACAGAATAGTTCGTCCAACCAAGTCGCCACTACCAATAAGCTCAACGCTGGCGCTCGGAAAATAACCAACTCACCAGCAATGAGTCAGCCTTATAATCAACTTTCTGAAGAGAATTCCACCACGCGTTTCCAGGCACTTCCGACAAATTGCTCGAATCAAACTATTTACGAGCAAAAATTGCGGTCCAACTACTCCCCATCTACTACAGCGGATTGCTGCAGCAACTCCGACACAATTGAGCATATGGACACATTTAATTGTCAATCGCCCTTATGTAATAACGAATCCATAGCAACAAATCAGCAAAAATCAAACACCAAGAGTGGCAATCACTTGGCCGGCAACAAATCAACCAAACCAAATCGAAATCAATCGACAATTGCGCAAAACTCCGAAAAAGATGTAGTGAAAGTGCCCAGGTATGGCAAAATGGAGTCTAAGCCGCAACAGAGTTCTTTCGTTTCATACCCTCTGACTTCCACACCTAAGGCCGTCATTACTAGCCGTGGCATGTACGTAACGTGCAACAGTCGAGGATTACTCGATCATGGTTACTCAGTAAAGGGTACCTTTTATCCACCAGTTTCCGGATCCGACAACCCTTCGATTCGCAATACCAACTCGGGTCAATCATTATCCAATTGTGATGTTGCCACTGCATTTACTACTTCCACAGAAAGTACACTTAGCACCAATTGTGGTCCGAGCTATCAGTCCATTTATTCACATGATACAAGCTCCACAGCTGGTACGCTTCATCAAACGATTGCCAACACAGCGGACAGCTTTGCAACGCTGTCGAGTACCTATGCGCCCAGTATGCACCTCGATGAATTCGCTAGGTACTCCGGCGGTGTCGAAAATGATTTTACTCATGTAATCTGTGACAATGGAATGGATCACGGCAAAACTGATGGCGAAATGAAATTCACTAAATATCCAGATACGAATCACAATTATGACGATTTCGAAGCTTACAATAATTCATTGGTTATCCCTGCTGCCGCCTCCAATTACTATACTCAGCTGCCTTACACGCTGGCCGCATCAAGTGCATGCACCCCTCCGACATCATTACCATTCCCCCTCCAATTGACATTACCCCTACAGCAGCCAACCACTTCTGTTTATTCTCCACAACACCACCATCACCACTCTCATTATCCGCACCACCCACAGCAAGTGCACAGTCAACAACTACAAAATGGCTACCCTTCTTATAGCCACTTTATTTCCACCACAAACAGTACAGGAACCGTTCTACCAACGAGCACACCATTGATGTCCATCAGTGCACAGAATAGTGTAATTGGCGCAATGGTTACACCTATGACACAGTCGCCCATTTCACCATATACTCGAAATTCCGGTGGAAGCGCTGCGACCATTGTAAATGCCGACAGGATATTCGACGCACGCAAAGACGACGAGATTAGTAACATACTGGCTGGAGTGAGGAAAACTTGCTACAGTAATTGACAGCATCCAAAACACCTGACGAAGCATTTTTAATATTTTTTATGTGGGAGAACTTTGTTGAAACTATGCATATTTTGAATAAATATTGTTGAGACACCTACCTTGCGGTTATGCCATATCCACAAGTTTTAACATTTTCCTTTGAAATATTGTATTATATGATATATTAGCCGTATTTCATAACGATGGTACTTCATTATTAAGATATCTCCCGACACCTGAATTTGTCATTAACCCAACATAAAAAAGACAAAGTAAGAGCGGAATATTAACTTTATATCTTCCATAATTGCATGATTTTTTTGTCCAAATACTCCAAAATATGAGTTAATATGGGTTAAATGGCGGATAATGGTCAAAAGGCGTATATTCTAATTTGTTTGTGTGTCTTTCTATGTTATATATTTGTCCCTCATTTCAGTACGCACCTCTTATCTCTTAGTGCAGTGCAGAAATATCATAATGTAAATACTCGTAAATAAATTTCTTGCTAATAGAGGACAGGAAGTCAATGTAACCCATTTTGTAAGGAGAGTTCCGCTTTTAATTTTGGTTTTATTTGCAAATTATACCGGTTTGACATTGAGAAGTATGTAGAAACCATATTCTTGAACTAACTGTATTATTTAAAAGTAGAAAAAGTTATTAAAACTAATCTTATAAGTAGAAAAAATGTGAAAACAAACATTCGAACGAAATTTTGACCAGAGGTTTTGTGGTCACAATATTAGAAATTTCCGTCGATGGTCTCCTACATAATAAGATATCGAAATACATCTTATTACAAATTTATACCTTTATAATATGTAACAAACTTAAAAATATGAGATCAATAATCAATTCTAAGTGAAGAACTTTCGTACAATATTTATTAGCTTAATAATTCATAAATGGTTATAAAAGCTTTAGAATAAATTTTACACATTTACTTTATTATTCCATAACACGTAGCACTCTTGTACAACTTGTATTCAAATTTCTTAGGAAGTAATAAATCAGTCTAAAAATGTTAACTTTGTAAGAAGATAATAAATATTTGTACATATGGCTTATGTATATACATATGTTATCTCTTAAAATTCGCGGTTTTATTGAAGAAATAAGTATATATAATATATAGTTATCATAACAGTAATACAAACTAAATTGATGGGAAACCTAACGAGATAATAACTTATTTCAGAAGACTGCTTTGTCATGTGCTTTTGTTGATCTTGCTCAGGCTGCAATTATAGAAATTTGAAATCTCGCATTGTGATATGGGACAGGTCAAAAAAAAAGGTAGCCATTTCCAACCTTGGATTCTGGTGTGAACCAGTGGATCCATGTTTCGGCAAGGCAGAAACTCTTTCGGATTGCGCTTCAACAGCGTTACATATTGTTGTGCAGTGGTTGCGATTGTTGTCCAGAGTGAGCACAGGTGGCACCCACCACGCCGACCATTTCCTCATGCCCAATATTTCCTGCAAAATATGACCCACATGATCTTTTGCGATGCATACCTTCTCATCCTCCTCGCGCACCTTCAATCAGCGGTCTGCCAATACAAGACGATGGACTTTTGTATCCTCCGTGGTAAAAGCTACGTCAGCCAGATGCCAAAGTGCACCGGAATCATCCTTCTTCTATAACGATGTTGAAAGAAAATGTGGAAATTTTTTATAATCTCTAATATTGCTTTTCAATAAAATGTAGCAGTTTGATGTTATTACATCCATAACATTAGATACACGTAACTGTTAATAATTATCTTAAGTGAAAACTATATTAGAACATTTTTAACATTATTTTATTCGTTTTAAGAGATGTTTAAAATTTTTTAAAAGTAACTTTGTTTTTTGTGTGGTATTAACTCTCAACAGAAAATATGGTGAGGAACATTGCCATCTGTTTGGTAGTTTAAGTAAAATTTTTTTTATAAAACTCTGAAAGTGTTGATCTACAGAAAACAATATCGGCAAATGAGGCTTCCATTTTATCTTGACTCTGCATTAAAAAAGATGCTATTGTAGTATATATGTATATATATATTTACCACTACAAACTTAGTTTGAGTAATGAAATGTGAAATCATGTTCCAGGCAGGAATAAAAAAATATAAGGAATATTAAAATGTTTAAGGGTTTAGTTTTTGTTGCGAAAGGAAAAAGTTGTATAGATTTTATGATTCAGTGCATAATCAAGATAGCTACTTTGTTTGAATAAGATAAAGTATCCTTAAACATCACGTAGTGATTTCATTATTAAGATAAATATATAGCCAAAGAAGAAATCTTGATTGAGAAGCAAAATAAAATTTTTTTAAAGGATAAGGTTTACTTTGTCACTTAAAACATAAAAGGGCAAAGTATGAGCGGAATAATACGAAGTGTGTTCAAAATTTAACAGGATTTTCGTTTTTTGAAACAAATATTTATTAATTCGTTTACATTAATGTTGTCGCCTTCATTATATTCGATATTATAAACTTATGCCAGCGCTTCTTCTAATTGTCGAAACACTTCTCAAACTTGACTTTTGGGCTAACCTTTAGTTCTTTCAGCGATTTTCATATTTCTCATTTCATTTTGATATGAAGGCTGGGGCATCATTAAAGTATTGTTTTCGGCCAAGATCTCACGAACAAGCAACGAAGTGTAAGTTTTTAACAAACGAAAATCGCCAAGCTCATAAAAGCATATCTAACGTTAACGCAATGAATACAGCACTATATTGTATCGTAGTTCATAATAAAATAAATTTTGACAATTGGACTCTCCAAACCCACGAAATTTTTAATTTTATAATTCTCGTTATATTCTTATTATTAAACATACTTTATACTTTGGGCCTTTAAAATGATATACAAAAAAATTAATTAGCTTATGGTAATTGCTTCAAATGGTATAATTTTCATTACATGACCTTAATCGTTGCTTTGCAAAAGGACTGCCTGCTTCCATATGAAATGGAAAATATTCTTTTGTAAGTAGAGACTACACATTGGTACATCCTTTAAGGAAACATGAGGGAGTGATACATAACTATCTATATCCTATTCCATCTAAATTATTTTATGGTCTTAAAATACTGCCAATGATGCCACCTACAGGAACGCTGTTCCATACAGCACAATTTCGAGCAATTTTTGTGGATGTAAGCACCATACCACAGCCTTTCACTTTTGTAGGGGATACCGATTTTCCTTGTCAATTTCAAATTTCTTAAGATTTTCAAGTCCCACTCAAGTTTTGCAAAATCATCAAATTTCTTCAGCAAATTATTTATAACAGCAAATTACTACGAAGCCGACAGCATCCACATGAGTTGCAGTCATATTCTAGCAAATAGATACAATTTTTGACTCATGCGCAAATCCCATTTTTCTACCCGTGCACAGCATAAGCCATCAATTCGTTTTGGGTCCTACTACAGTTAGTTACCGTAATAAGATTTCTGTTATATAAATTCGTAGTGGTTTTATTTTAATTTTATTCAACAATAAAGGCTGTTAATTTCATAAACGTGATAAAACACTGCAAGTAAATACGCTGATATTTATCAAGTTATAATACAACAAGTAAAACAACATACCACAGCACAACATACATAGAGCTTAGAGCTTATAGAGTTTTCATAGTTACTTATTTCATGGGAAACTTACACACATATACATAAATATGCATTTGCTTTAATTATCGCATATCGTTTCGTTTTTTTTTTACGTGAAGATGAAATAAAGAACGCATTTGTGCATCCATGTGTCCAGATTCGAGATGAGCATTGGAGTTGATAATATAAAACTATTGGTAACTTGGAGACACTACGCCCAAGGTGTTTGTTGAAAAAGTAGCCTCCGGAAGTCTAAATGAATTATTTTTAAGTCAGTGATCAGAAAGAAAAAAAATCAAAATTAACTGTCAGCCACGTAAAATCGATAAGGTCGAGCACATTAATTCGCATAGCCTAATTGTGTTTTGACATATCCATAATCGCCATCGCCACCGTCACCTACATCTTCAACAGCGGACATCGTCAACTCATTGTCACAACATCAATTTGCCAAAATGTCATTCATTAATAAATTAAAGTCCACTCCATTGCCGCCAATTAAAAATATTATAAATGTTGCCGTGCAAACAGCTCGTCAGCACATTCCCGAGAAGAAGGACTACGAACAGCCAGGCAGTAACACAACAGGAGCGGCAACGACGCAACAAAACTTCAATTCACATCCACAAGGAATGTTTAATGGAGGGGCTGGCGAGGGCCAATATCAAGGTAAATGGAAATCTAAATGCATGAATATAAAATGGTAAATTATGTCGTATACCCTGCTGCATGCATATATAATATATATAAAGATATAGTATACGTTTACTAAGGCGATATGCATACATACTTATAAATACTTAGGTATATGTGACTGCGAGTAAAGAACGATTATTTTGAACAAATACTTTACTCATGTTATTATACATTGATGCATATAGTTTAATTAACGCACAAATTCAGACGCCTCAAGAAAGAACCTTTTGTTTTGGAACCAGAAACTCAATCGTGAGCTCGAAGTAAGGATTAAGTACTGCTACTTTCCATGGCCTGATATCGTATTTTATCTATTTAATCTATTTCGGACTTTTAGTATAATCATAATGATACTTATTTATCATTACAATGGTTTTCTGATATTTAGGCCATAGTATATTTAAATATTATTCGAAAATTTGTTATTGTACTCATCTAAAGGTTATTTGTTTTAATAGCCCAGTGCAGAAGCCTTTGAATGTGGCAAAAATTGTAAAAATATCATACTCGTAGTAGATTGAAACCCATTGAAAAAAAATGATAAAGTAACAATAATTAAAGAAAAAATAAGAAAAAACATTAAGTTCGGTTACACAATATTCCATACAACAACTTAATTTCGATCGGTAAGTTTGTATGTCAGTTATATACTTGTATTATAGTGGTCCAATCTAAAAAATATCTTCGGAGATGCTACCGTTGTCTTAAAAAATAATATGTGCCGAATTTCATGTAGAGATCTCATCAAATAAAAAAGTTTTTCGGTCCGATATTGGCGGGTCTGACAAATGAACAGCTTCTTAGGGAGAAAACCAAGTATGCAAAGTTTCATACCGATATCTAATAAACTGAGGGACCAGTTCGCATTGGTACAAATCGAGTCATCTCGTCATGCTGATCATTTATATATAAATTTTATATGATCTCCGACGTTTCCTTGTAGGTGTTACAAACTTCGTGGCAAACTTAATATACCTTGTTCAGGGTATAATAATTTACGGGCGATTTGAGGTCGGAAAGAGAATGAGGAGGAGCGTGATAGAATTTTGAAGGGTTAAAACTTTGTATATACAAACAGACAGATGAACATGGCTAACTCAACTCAGCTCGTCATGCTGATCATTCACATATATATTCTATAGGGTCTCCAACCTTTCCTTCTGGGTGTTACAAATATCGTGACAAATTTAATACCCCATTCAGGATATAAAAATGCTGTAGCAGTATCCAATAAAACTATTGAATAGGCACATAAATGGACTGAAACCACAAAAAAAAGTTCAAAATTATTTAATAGCATCTTCCTCTTCTTTGATAGTAATAATAGTTATCGAATTCTAGCGCAAATCGCTGAAAGGCCAACCGAGTTGAATCCATTTCGCAATCCAAATGGATGGACAGATACCGAGAATGGAGAATACAAGAATGAGGAATATCAGAACACTTCATTTACTGCTAATGAATATGACGGACGATATCAACAAACGGGTGGATTCAGGTAAATATAAAAATAGAGGAAAATTTACTGTCATATAGTGTTGAAATGACATGTCATAAGTCAACGAGGACGTTAAACTCTTTGATGTCATTTTGAAGGACAAAACCAAAATTTGCTTTGAAATAGATCTCAGACTCTTCGATTTCTTCTTAATAACAATTTTCTTAAGGTCTGAGCATTGGAAAAAGACATCTGAAGCCAGATCTGTAAGAATAATTCATATAATATTTCGTAGTTTTCATTGATATGTCAATCGATCGAATATGTGCACCCTCTTCACGTAAAGCTTTCACATACTCAAATATGAATGAACGATATTATCAACGTTCTTTTGAGTATATATATTTGAGTTTTTATTCATAATAGTTACTTTAGGAGGTCCACTGAATCCATTGCCTTCGGTGAACATGTGGCTTGTACTTCTACAGAATGTAGCAAACCACTTCCGAAAAAAGGCCGATAAACCGCCGCAATTTTCAAGCAATTTGGCACATTTAAAATAATGTTAATGTTTAATAGGTAATATGAAATACAATTATACTATGTTCGAAAGGAAATCAAAAACAAGAAAAAACTAATAACTTCGATTGCACCGAAGCTATAATACAATTCACAAATACAAAAGATCCTACACAAGAACTTGTTGTCCAAACCTCATACAAGGACTGGATTCTGACCGTTAAGTTTGTATGACAGATATATGCTATAGTGGTCCGATCTAAACAATTCCTTCGGAGATTGTAGCGCTGCTTTAGACAATAATTCATTCCAAATTTCGTGAAGATTTCGTCGTTCGATATCGGCGGTTCCGACAAATGAACAGCTTCTTGGAGATAAAAGGACGTGTGCAAAAGTTCAGATTATTATCTCAAAAATTGAGGGAATAGTTCACGTATAAACATTCAGACGGACGGACAGACAGACAAACAGACAGACGGACATGCATCGGCTCAGCTCGTTATGCGAATCGCTTATATAAATATTATATAGGGTTTCCGACGTTTCCTTCTGGATATTTTAAACTTCGTGGTAAACTTAATATACCCTATTCCTGTTGTGATGTAAGTGTGTTAAAAGGAAACAAGATGCCACTGAAAAACATGAATTTAGTCTTCCAAGTTCTGATTGAAAAAAAGTCGGTTGGGACTGCACATTGCATTCTAAAAAATTTTGCTGCTATTTAGTCTTCTTTAAAGATAGTATTACGTTTCTTACAAAAACTTTTTAATTTCTATTACGCCAATGTAAACAAATTAATTACATTAATTTTTAACTCTCTTGTGATGTCCCTAAATTGTGTGATTTACATCTCGTGCCGTTACTCATTGTTTAGTTTTTTTTTATATTTTATAGACTAAGACTAATCAATTTCTATCTAACCTGAAATATAAAGAAAAAATTATTTTGTTTTTATTTCAGACAAGGAAGTGTAGCTTCTGAGGGAAGCTCATTTGTGTGCGAAGGTGAAGGTGGCGGTGGCACAAATATCGACGAATTTCAAGCCGGTTGGAATGTCACCAATGCGATTCAAGGAATGTTCATCGTCTCGCTGCCATTTGCTGTGCTGCACGGCGGTTATTGGGCTATCATAGCAATGGTCGGCATAGCATACATTTGCTGCTATACGGGAAAAGTGTTAGTGCAATGCTTGTATGAACCCGACCCTAACACCGGCCAAATGATACGAGTTCGTGACAGCTATGTTGCGATTGCAAAGGTTTGTTTTGGACCAAAATTGGGTGCTCGCGCCGTTAGCATTGCCCAATTGATTGAGTTGTTAATGACGTGTATTTTATATGTTGTGGTGTGTGGGGATTTATTGGCAGGCACCTACCCTCAAGGTTCTTTTGACTCACGATCTTGGATGATGTTCGTGGGAATATTCTTGTTACCAATGGGTTTTTTGAAATCTCTGAAAATGGTATCGACCCTCTCATTCTGGTGCACTATGTCTCACATTGTTATTAATGCCATTATTTTGGGCTATTGCATATTACAGATTGGGGAATGGGGTTGGTCCAAAGTACGGTGGAGCATTGATATGGAGAACTTTCCAATATCATTGGGCGTGATTGTTTTCTCATATACATCGCAAATATTTTTGCCATCACTAGAAGGCAGTATGATCGATCGCTCTAAATTCAACTGGATGTTGGATTGGTCGCATATAGCAGCAGCGATTTTCAAAGCCGGTTTTGGCTACATTTGCTTTCTTACTTTCCAAGATGATACTCAACAAGTAATTACAAACAATCTGCACTCACAGGGTTTTAAAGGATTAGTGAATTTCTTTTTAGTTATAAAGGCATTACTTAGCTATCCTTTGCCCTATTACGCTGCCTGCGAACTGCTGGAACGTAATTTCTTCAGAGGGCCACCAAAAACGAAATTTCCTACAATATGGCATTTAGATGGGGAACTAAAAGTTTGGGGTCTCGGATTTCGAGTCGGTGTGATAGTTGCAACAATTATGATGGCTATTTTCATACCACATTTTTCAATTCTAATGGGTTTCATTGGTAGCTTCACCGGAACTATGTTGAGCTTTATCTGGCCTTGTTATTTCCATTTGAAAATCAAAGGACATCTATTGGATCAAAAAGAAGTTGCAAAGGACTACTTCATCATCTCTCTGGGAGTCTTGTTTGGCGTAATAGGTATTTACGATTCTGGCAATGCATTAATTAACGCCTTTGAACTGGGGCTACCATTTTAAAAATCTTATTCTAACTGGGCACAAATACACGCTATGTGTCAGTGAATAATTAATATTAGAAAGTAGAGATCGTACATTACCATGGCGAACGAACACATGAAATTTGTTACTGCATTCCACATAAAAAATACTATTACATATATGTATTTAATTAAATTTGCTTAGTATATACTTAAACGATAGGTCAAAGTGGACAATTTAAACAAAATGAAACGAAAACGATGTCTTCCAATATAATATATAAACATAAATACTTATATATAATTATACAATGTATGATAACATACAAAATGAAAAGTGAAAAATGTCTTCCAAAACGATTTAACTATAATATATAATATATATAATATAATACTTATTTACATAGGCATAATCTAAATGCACGCAGATATATGTGTGCATAATTTAAAATTAAAGTTGAAACATGTCTTCCAAGATAATTATATCACATATTATAGATAGATCTTATATACATGTACATGTATTAAATTATATGGATAATTTTTAAATGTTCAAACACATTAAAAATATAGCCTTAATTACGTTGTTTTCTTGTGGGGATATGATGTCCTCGGAAAAGATCCTAATAATATAAGTTTTTATTTTATTCCTTTCATTCCATTTTTTTAACTACTCCATATTTTTATACTCTCGCTAAATGTTGTTGCAGTGTGTAATAGTTTTGTTTACCCAACGGTTGTTTGTATCATCTAAAACCTAATAGAGATAACTATAGGGTATATACATGCATATACATATAAAGAAGGCCATAAAGAGAGAATACAAAATCAAATCAAATCAAAGTTAAACTCAGCACAAATAGTGTTTTTAAGACATTCTATCTCACGTCTAAACGACAGATACCGAATATGTGAACTCCAGTTCCTATGACTGACTCTTTACCGAAAATATTAGTCAATCTGTGAGATGTAGTATTGAAATTCGGATAACATTTTTACAATAACAGCATACCATTGTGTTTGAATTGGATAAAATCATGTGAAGACTTCTCCTAGTCCCCTTATACCTAATACAATAATTTTCTACATCTTATCAACTCTATACACTAAATAATGGTCAAAATGTGAGGTAACTTAATAAAACTCATAGAGCATCTTTTTTTGCAATGATTTGGTAATGCCAAAAATGGGTAAAATCTATATTACCCGTAGCCCCCATATATCAAGATATCTTAGCAATATGTAATATAACTTCAGTGTGTGAGTTATCTTCATAAAATAACATTAAAACGTATCCTTCAGAATTCTGGAATAATGTCAATAGTTAATTATTTTAGACCTTATTCTGGTTGATGTTTTCATCATAAATAAATATTAAATTCCTATTAAATTTTATCCTTTTCATTGAGTTTATATCACGAAACAAAATGTAGTAATGACAGTCAGTCTATAACAGTAGTCGGCATTTCATAGCACAATTGTGCAAGCTAATTTCCCACCTACACTTACGCTCTATCGTTTAAACGCTGAATACATAGTCGACGACAAGCGACAAGCAGCATCTATCAAATATTAAAATACACACGTTCTTATGGGCACATTTATTTAGACAACTGCACGACTTCATGGCAGCCGCAGTGTTGCTACTGATATGTAAATTGTAAAATTATATCATTTGTAATAAGAATTGATAATTTAAAACAATGAAGCAACCAATTTACTTATTTTTTGCACAAAAATTTTCACTTTGAAGAAAACATTTAAATTTATTGAAGTGAAAGGTTTTAGTACGGTAACTGTCAAATATTCCCCATGCCCAGAGATTTGGTATGGCGCATACCTAAATAAACGCGGCGGCAACGCTGAGCGTTGAAAAATTCGTAAACGGAGAAATTCAATTTTGACAGCTAGTTAAAAAGTAAAGTTGGCTACAGAAAACGAAGAACTTGTAACTTTTCTAAAAAATTTATTGACGCGCGATGTTTAATGCTTATACAAATGGATGTTAGTATTATTAATAAATTGTTTCGTTTAACATTTGATTTCTAATGTGCTAATGATGTACTAATTTTAGAATTTAAGTAGGAATTTTACGTAAAGTTGCCGCTTTACTTAGGGATACCACGTCGGCGTTAACCGCTCAACGCTTTTATTTAGTAATTGCAATAAGTCGTTATCGGGCGATGAAACCAGAGAACGTAAATGAACAAGAACGTGCAGGTACGACAGCGAGAATTTGTAAAATTTTAGTCGGGGATTTCACCTCACAAGCAGGTGTGCCATGCCCAACCGGCGAATATGAAGAGAATTTGATAAGTATGCCAAACAGGGAATATTGATATGCCATTTGAAATATATTCCCTTTTTTAAATTATTTATTGTTAATTAATTTTTACTTTATTATGAGTTATTACAATAAAATTATTTTGATATATTTCTTAAAATAGTTCATGTACTTGACACCATTATGGAGTCACAAAAGTACAGAACTGCGCTTTGCCGTCAGTATTTTCATATCATATGTACATGTATTTCTGCCAGAAGACGTTGTTTTAAATTCTCATTTCTGTTGAATACCAGCAAGTACTACAGAAAATGGTGAACTCCCTGCTCGGAATTTCCCAGCTCTGTTAGCCGTCCAATCAAGCATCATACAAAATTCAATTTGCACCTCCTCGTCCATTTACTTTCTCTGATGTAACAACCAGTAAAAACTGTCTTGCTATATTTGCGGCGAATTTATTAAAATGAGAGAGAACAAGTAAGGAAGTTCTAAGTTCGGGTGTAACCGAACGTTTTATATTCTCGCAACTTGCAAGGATCAAAACCCGGGAAATTACTTCAGGTGTTGGCAAAATGTTATATTAAAGGAAGTATTGATCCGATTCAACCAATTTTTGACACAAAGACATACTACTATCGAGAGTTTTATTTATTCATATTCATGAATTTTAATTATTGTATATATCTTACACATTGAGTCAACTATAGGCCGTGGGGTTCACATATTCAGTACTCAGGGGCATGAACAGTTTTGGTTCGATTTAGACAATTTTTGGTCACAAGGTGGCATACTTTAAACGCATTATTCACGCAAAGTTTTATCCCGATACAATCATTGTTGCTTGATTTGCATTGTGGAAAGTCAAAGAATCCGATGGAATTTAAAATGGTGTTATATGGCAAATAGGCGTGGTTGTATTTCGATTTCGCCCATTTCCGCACTATAACATAAAAAAAATGAGAAAAATGTTATGTAGCAAATTTAGTTGAAATCGGTTAAGCAGTTCCCAAGATATGGGTTTTCACCTAAAAGTCGGCGGTGCCACGCCCTCTGTCTAATTTTGATCGCGGTTTCTATAAAATCATCTCATATCATCCCAGAGATAAAATTTAATGTCTCTGGCTGTTTAGTGCTTGATTTATCGCGCTTTTAGTAGTTTTTAACAGTACCGTTATATGGGGAGTGGGCGGGGTTGTCACCCGATTTCACCCATCTTCGCACTATCAATAGAGGTGCTAAAAAGGCTTATTCTCAGTAAATTATTATAGCTTTAGCGGCTTAGGAGATTAGCACATTAAACCTATTACTTGGCGGGACCACGCCCACTTTAAAAAAAAAGTTTACCGCAGATGCCTCTCCTTAATGTGATCCTGTATACCAAATAACAGTCTTGCATCTTATTGTGGAGCTTGGTTATGGCAATTTATTTGTTTTTGATTAATGGCGTTTTGTGGGCGTGGCAGTGGTCCGATTACGCCTACCTGCAATACCAACCGTCTTACGGTACCAAGAAACATGTGTACCAAGTTTCATCAAGATATCTCAATTTTTACCTAAGTAACAGCTTGCACACGGATTTTTTATTATTATTCATTTTAGGTGATACAAACAACCGTTAACGTAAACGTAATCGGACCACTACCACGTCCATAAAACGCCATTAAACGGAAACCAATTTTTTTTTTGCGGGGGAGGGAGTGGAAAATACCTGTTGTCACAGCAGCTGTATGTGCCGCTGGCAGGTCACTAAAAACCCCCCTCTAAGGAACCGTCGCCCACCCTGGGACCGCGTTTGCATTACTTCAGGGTGGCGTTCCATTTTTCTCATTGAGAGATTTACATCTGCGGCCCTGCGTCCAGGTCCCGCTTTTTGCTGCGTAGTAAAATTGCTGCGAATTTCTGGATGAAAATTCTGGTTGATTTCGCTTTCCAGCATCACGCTAATTAAGTTGTCCGTGTTTATTGGACCAACCCGGTCTTCTACGGCGCTGCGTTCCCGTTGCCATCGCGCACATTTAAAGAATGTGTGTTCAGCGTCGTCTTCTCTCGCGTCGTTGTGTGGGCATGACGACTTTTCCCATTCTGTGAAGGTACTTTTTGAACTCATGTAGACGTCGACTTCTCCAAATTTTCGGATTGTCCATTGGTTTACATCTTTTATAAGTCTGGCCGTCCATCTGCCGCGGCTCTCATTCTCCCATCTTCGTTGCCATGCTGACATCGTGTCCTTATTTATTTGTTCGATTGCCCTTTTATTATTCTCAGATGTTTCCTTTAGCTACCACAGGTTTTTTCTTTCGTATGCCAGGAGGTCAATTGGGACATTACCGCTGATAACTAATACCGCATCGTCCGATACTGTTCGGTACGCTGATGCAACTCTGAGGGTTGCGGTGCGGAGTACTTTGGCCAATACCTTACGCTGGTTTTCCTTTTTTAGCACATCTGCCCAAATCTCTGCTCCGTATAATAGAACGCTGATGGTCGTGGACATTAGGAGCTTTCTCTTTTCTTGGCTGGGCTCCCCTATGTTGGCCATTAGTCTGCTGAGTTGGGAGGTGATTTTCGCTGCCTTTCTTGCGGCGTGCTGGATTTTTACCCAAAAAGTTAATCTGGGGTCCAGTCTGACGCCTAGGTAGTTTACTACTTTTTGTGTCTTTAGAATATCCGTGGTCGTTTGCATACTTATTTCGAGAGGTATGTGCTTGTTTGTCAACGGTAGTAGCTCTGTTTTTTCGGTATCGAGTTGTAGGTCGTGTAAGTCGAGCCATGCTTGGGTCCGTATCATGACTTGGTTTAGCTTCCTTCGCGCATCTTCTGTGTCTCGGGCTGTAATTACTGCTACGATGTCGTCCGCGTACCCAATTAGGTAGGATTCGTCTGGCATGTCGAGTTTTAGTATGGCGTCGTATCTGATGTTCCATAAGTCTGGGCCTAAAATGGATCCTTGTGCTGCTCCTGACGTAACCGCTATCTGTCGTGGTCCCTCTCTAGTTTGGTACGACAATTTTCTCTTACTGAGGTAGCTCCGCACCACCGCCCTGAGGTAAATAGAAACCTATAAGGGGCCAAACTAAGCACTTGTGATTTTGTACAGGGGATTGCACTAACAAGGGACACCTATTGACCAACATTTTTTAAAAATGGGCGTATCCCCGCCCTTAAAAGGTTAAATATACACATCTTCCAAACCGCCCAAGCTAACTCAACCAAATACGCTGGGAGGAAGTATTTTTATCACATTTCTATACGCTGTGAAGATGAGTAAAATCAGATAATAACCACGCCCACTCCTTATATAACGGTTATGTTGAAAACTACTAAAAATGCGATAACTCACTGAATAAATACGCCATAAGCATTAAATTTCACAAACAAGATGGTATTCCCTACCAGGCTTTATAGGGGAAGATGTAAACATTTAACAATCAGTGAAGCACCACCAACCATTAGGTGGAATTCTATATCTCAGGAACTTTCCGACCAAATTTGATATGTGAGGCTATCCAGCCATTTCTATTATACACTGAGAAAATTGGCGAAATCGTACAACGACATGCATGAACTATCCATCCTGCAAAAAAAATCGTCTAAAACTATGCAGCTAAAAGCACCAACTTCCATGATGTCATTTGATTAAAAAATTTACGGAAACACATACTTAAAGAAAGGAAACACCCGCGTAGCTAAATAATAAGTATGGTTTAAAGTACATGCTTTTAAAAAACCTGCTTTTAAAGCACAATAAACTAAAAATTGAAAAATAAATATAACGTGGAATGGTTTACTTCATACTTTTCGTATATCGAGCATACCACACTTTTCTCATAATAATTTTAGTATTTTTCAGTCAATATTACTGTCAGTTTATATAAAGAATTATTTTTCACTTTTTAGTTTGAAGTGCTTTAAAGCGTGTTTTTTAGTTTTTATACTCTCGCAACCTGTTGCTACAGAGTATACAAGTTTTGTTCACCTAACGGTTGTTTGTATTACCTAAACCTAATCGAGTTAGATATAGGGTTATACATATATAAATTATCAGGATGAAGAGACGAGTCTAAATCCGGGTGACTGTTCGTCCGTCCGTCTGTGCAAGCTGTAACTTGAGTAAAAATTGAGATGGCTTTATGAAACTTTGTACCGTAAGACGATTGGTATTGCAGATGGGCATAATCGGATCACTGCCACGCCCACGGAACGCCTTTAACAACAAAACAAATAAATTGCCATAACTAAGCTCCGCAATAAGATACAAGACTGTTATTTAGTATACAGGATCACATTAGGGGGGGCATCTGCAGTTAAAATTTTTTTTTAAGTGGGCGTGGTCCCGCCCCCTAATAGGATTAATGTGCATATCTCCTAAGCCGCTAAAGTTATAATA